GGAATATGGAACCTTTTAAAGAGTCCTGCTTTGTCCCCTGGGCATATCTCATGTTTCTGGGCATGGGTATTGTTTGTGAACATTATAGAACTCTCTGTCCTGATGGCAAAATCACCCTCTTCTTTACAACAGCTACTCTTGCCAGGCAGAAGTAACGGGGTAGGGGAAAGGTGGTGGTGGGGGGGAGGGGGGAAGGAGATGGAGAATCCTTAACCCTGTCATTCCAAAAATACTTCCCCTGGATCTGAGAGCAGGAACTTGATCTTGCCCATGGAGCATGAGACATGGAGACCAAGTTGGCCAGGCCTCTGCTGGACACTAGGTAGGGGTAGGGAGAACCACTGCTGGTGATGCCTATAGTCAGGGAGGTAAGGAGCAGGGAGAGGCATTGCGAGGAAGATTGTCTTCAGGGAGGTAGTTTTCTAGGGAAGAATGCAGCCCAACATGGGTTCTGAAGGAGCAAGTGATGGGGCTAAGAGGCACTAAGACAGCTATCAGGGATGTAGGCCAGGCCTTGAGATACTATTCATTCTCCATACTGTGGGTGTAAAAAAAAAAAAAACTCATTCCAGGGTCTGAAGTGATAGAACAACAGGTAGGGAGTTTGCCTTGCATGCGGCCAACCAGGGTTCGATTCCCAGCATCCCATATGGTCCCCCGAGCACCACCAGGAGTAACTCTTGAATGCATGAGCCAGGAGTAATCCCTGTGCATCACCGGGTGTGACCCAAAAAGCAAAAATAAAATAAAATAAAATAACTTATTCCAATCTACTCTAACCCTGGGGTCTGGAGTAAGGCACTTGCCTTGCACACAGTCAATCCCAGCTAAAATCCCCGGCCCCATGTGTGGCCCTCAGAACCCCACCAGAAGTCACCCCTGAGAAACACTGGGCGTAGGCACCAAAACCCAACAAAATCAACGAATGGATAAATAAAAACGAGACAATAACCCAAGGTTTTTCTCTATGGTGTGGTGCGTCTGTCAGTATCTCCTTTTAATGGGAGAAATGTATGTGTCATGCTTCTTAAGTAGTCAGCATCCCTTTCACCATCACATTCTCAGAGCACCCTACAATGCTGATGCATGAGAGTCTTTGCCTAGTGTCACCGCATACCCGCAACTTCCTTACTCTGCCAGTGAATACACTCAGTGCGGGAAGAGAGCCTACCTGGGGCCACAGCGGCCCAGCTTTGAAGTGATGTTCCTGTTGGTTCCAGACTCAGCCAGTACTAATGCTTGGGCCCTGCCTCCACCTCCCCGGGTCGCTAAGTCCCCTTGCCCCTGTTGGAACCAATGCGCTAGCGTTCGAAGATGTCCAGTGCTTGGCTTCTGCTCTGTGTGAGAGACATATTGATAAGAGACAGAAGCGCTCAGTAGTGTGCCTGGAGAGAGCAGCTTCCAGGAGGATGCTGCAGGACCTGATTTTGAGTCAAAAAGGTAGCATCTAAGGGGAGAAACTGTAACATTTTTATACGCGTGACAGGCTCTCACTACCAGTGGAAGAGGATTCCACTTTTCTACGCTGTTCCAGAGGAGAGACCAGTCCTGAAAGTGGCATCTGAAAGTGACAGGGAAGCAGGTGACAACCGCACATCAATCTGTCCTAGTATAATTGAATCAGTACAATTGTCTGGACATGGACAGGTTGAAAATGAAGCAGGGCAGAGATTCCTAGATTAAACCAAGTGGCTCCTGCACCCTGCCTTCCTCCTGTCCCTGCATTCTGAGCGCCCTAAATCCTGCCGTAAGTAGCAGGGTCTCCTGAGGCGGCGTCATTGTCTATTCATCTCTCCAATTCTCCGTTCAGCTTGAGCACAGTGTATTTCATGTGAGGAGAGAAATATCTATGACAAGGGAGCAATGAGGTTCCCAAGCTTTCTGGGAAAGCGCAGGGCCCCGTGGCGTCTCCCACGTGTCTATAGTGGACACAGACAGTACTGACTTTTTAACAAGTGTGCTGAACTCTGAGACATTAACAGACCCCAGGGCTTCTGTCTCACCTCTCTCAAGCACGAAATCATGGAATTTGAGACACAGGGAGGCCTGGGGGTCATTCCATCCCAACTCCTACCAGAGCAGAAGTCCTCCCTCTCACAGCCCAACAGATGGTCCCAGCGTCTACTCGAATACTTTCAGGAAGAGCACACTGCATGCCAAGAGAGTGAGTCCATTCTGAGACTACTTAATCCATGTTGATTCAGTCCTCGTTGGGAGCTGTTTCTTTCTCGCATTGAGCCCCAAGTCTGCCTTTATTAAACTTGACTTCTGCCCTCAGCAGTACGACAAAAATAAATCTGTTCTCGCATCCATCTGTCTATATCCAGATTATTTTTATATTGGTGGGAAGGGGTAGCTCCTGTGCCCATGGAGTTTGCTGACACGCGTGGTGATACTTGACCCAGCTGTGTGTGGTCCTGATATTTCAGTGCCCTGTATCAGTGTTACATTATCAGTGCCAAATCCAGCAGTGTCCCGGGAGCCATACACTTTGTAGTAGCAGGCTTGGATCTTTGAATAGGCAAAGCACGCACTCCAGCCCAATGTTCAGATTGTTTGTTTCTTCGGGGCTACATCCAGCAGAGCTCAGAGCTTACTTCTGGCTCTGTGCTCATGAATCACTCCTAGCCCTAGGGGTGCTTAGGATCAAACCCTGGTCAGCTGTGTGCAAAGAAAGCCCTGTACTTGCTGTATCATTACTCTGGCCTTGTAGATTCTCTCACTCCAAATCTAAATGTCTCGGTACCCTCAAATACTCCTTATTACCCTGGTCACGGGGCTGGAGCGATAGCACAGCGGGTAGGGCGTTCGCCTTACAAGCGGCCAACATGGCCGACCCGAGTTCGATTCCTCCGCCCCTCTCAGAGAGCCCGGCAAGCTACCGAGAGTATTCGATATGCCAGACACAGTAACAACAAGGTCTCCAATGGAGACGTTACTGGGCCCGCTCGAGCAAATCGACGATCAACGGGAGGGCCTTTACCTTTTACCTTACCCTGGTCACAATCCTCTAAAGCCTCTTTTTATTTTTTTTCTGGGTCACACCCGGAGATGCACAGGGATTACTCCTGGCTCTGCACTCAGGAATTACCCTTGGCAGTGCTCAGGGGACCATATGGAATGCTAGGAGTCAAACCCAGTTGGCTGTGTGCAAGGCAAACTCACTACCCACTGTGCTATCACTCCAGCCCCCAAAACCTCTTTTTTAAATAAAATAAAACTGGGGGGAAAGGCAGTTGGGATGAAGAAGGGAACACTAAATGAACGATGCTTGGAGGGCTCGCTCAGGATGGGATATGGGTGCTAAAATAGACTATAGACCAAACATTATGGCCACTTGCTACCTGTATTGTAAACTATAACGCCCAAAAGGAGAGAGAGAATAAAAGGAAATGCGCCTGCCGCAGAGGGTGGGGGGGACAGGGTAGAGTTGGTGGGAGGGTTACTGGGAACATTGGTGGTAGAGAATGGGCACTGGTGGAGGGATGGGTACTCGATCATTGTATGACTGAAATGTAATCACGAAAGTTTGTAGGTCTGTAACCGTATCTCACCATGAGTGGTGATTCATAAAAAAATGTTAAAAATAAAATAAAATAATTTTACTCATGTTATGAATGATGTAGCTTATGAAGAGTAGCTCTGACTGCAAATAGCAATCATGCTCTGGCCACTGCAGAATGTAATGGAGCACTCACCTCCCTTGATTTTCATTAATTAATCACTATATCTTTGCTAATGCAGCATAGAATATTAATATCTGACTCTATTAACTAAGGACACCATTTTTTAATATGACAAGGCTTCATGTAATTTAAAAGAAAAAAAGTGGACTTAATAGTGGCCTTCTCATTAAAATATCAAATCCTGCTGGAAGCCTGCCTCATGAGCAAAGGGGAGAAGGCAGCTGGAATAGAGAGGGGATCACTAAAAAAAAGATGGCTGGAGGAATTGGTTGGGGTGGGAGATGTGTGCAGAAAGTAGATAAAGGATCAAACATGATAACCTCTCGGGGTCTGTATTGCAAACCATAATGCCCAAAAGTAGAAGGAGATTATGGGGAATATAATCTGCCATGGAGGCAGGGGGAGGGTGGGAAAGGGGTGGTATACCGGGGACGTTGGTGATGGGGAATGTGCACTGGTGGAGGGATGGGTGTTTGATCATTGTGTGACTGTAACCCAAACATGAAAGCTTGTAACTATCTCAATAAAATTAAGGAAAAAAGAAAAGATCAAATCCTGAACCCAAGAAATAACACAACAGGCTAGGCACATACTTTATCTGCAGGAGGCCTGGATTCAAGTCTTAGCTCTCATGACTCCCCAAGCACTGTGGGAGCACCCCTGTGCACAGAACAGGGGGTAGACCCCGAACACAGTCAGGCATGGCACAAAAACACAAACAAACATAATTGAAAACAATGAGAAAAGAACAAATCCCACAACCCCTTCATGAACAGCAGGCAGACAGGACTGGTTAAGAGACTGGCGATGATGATGACTGACAGACCTGGATAATGGAAGCCAAAGATGCTAGAACACAGCAAATAAAGTGTTTGCACTGATACACCAGGGCTCCGGTTTTTGCTACTTCTTTCCCAAGAAAGTCCAGAGTATGAAAGGACTCTTATTAGAAAGTGTTCCTAGTAAAGTAAAGTAAAGGCCCTCCCGTTGATCGTCGACTTGCTCGAGCGGGCCCAGTAACGTCTCCATTGGAGACTTTGTTGTTACTGTGTCTGGCATATCGAATACTCTCGGTAGCTTGCCGGGCTCTCCGAGAGGGGCGGAGGAATCGAACTCGGGTCGGCCATGTTGGCTGCGTGCAAGGCAGACGCCCTACCCTCTGTGCTATCGCTCCAGCTCGAGAAAGTGTTCCTACTTATATTATTTCCCTTACACTCTGTGTGATTTTTTTTAGCTTGTCATGTGCCTCAAAGCCTGACTCTTGCTATAGTCCTTGGGAAACTCACTCATGGTTTTCCTTTGCCTCTTTTGCAGGACACCTAAAGGAAGAGATTGTGCAGCGACACATGCAACAAGTAGCTCTGGGTGAGTCCACGGGAGAGGCTGCGGGAGGTCATGTGAATTTGCCTGGTCTAGGCAGAAATGGCTCCACCCTGTGTCAAACCATTTCTGTGCCCAACTCTATGTGTCTCATCTCCTTTCAGCCTTGCAACAATCTTCACAGGGAGGGATATTCTCCTGAAGAGTGACTTGCACAAGGTCACAGGGTGGGACATGTTGGAACAAGATGACCTGTTTCTCTGAGTCCAGACTCGGTCTTGGCCCTCAAGCTGTTTACTGCCATGATGAACCCACCTTACTCCACTAATCATGCAAATCTTCCAAAAGTGACTCTTTTGAGCTATAAACAAGAGTGTTCAATAGTTGATAGCTATAAACAAGCTATAAGCAAGGACCCAGGGATCCCTAATTCTTGGGTCCTAACTCAGGGGGCTGGATTTGGAAACAGCACCGAAACCTCTGTTGATGTCTCAGGAAGAATACCAGGATATCACAAAATCACCCCGATAGTTCTGGGTGGTTGAGGTGGGTGATGAAAAGTCCTTGGTTCTTGAATAACAGTAACAAAGAAGTGAAGATCACATATCCACACAAGTTCTGCAGCAACGGGTAAGCAAGTGTGTCCAGGCATGAGACAGTCCGAAAGAGTGGAAGAGGGTTGAATCGGTGAGGTGCAGCCGACCCTGCTCTACCAAAACCCAATTTTTAAACTTTTTTAGTACCATGAGTTACAGAATTGCAAAGTTATTCATTATTAAGTTTCAGACATAAAATGTTCCAACGCCAATCCCTTTGCCAACATCCACTTCCCTCCACCAGTGTCCCCAGTTTCCCTCCCACCCTCCCCAGCCAGCAGAATAGCAAGGACTTTCCCCTCCACCCTTGTCTGACTGGCAAGTTCCTGAAGCATGGTTCTCCTGCTACTCATTTCTACCACCTTGAAGACTTTGTTATTTTCTTACAGAATTTCTTTAGATCCCACATATAAGAAAGATCATTCTGTGTCCGTCCCTCTCCCTCTGACAAACTTCACTCAACGTGGTAGTGCCCAGATCCATCCACACAGTCACAAATCATATGATTTTATCTTTTCTTATGGCCGACTAGTATTCCACTGTGCATAGCTTCTCTATCCAGTCATCTGTTCTTGAATACTTTGATTGTTTCCAATTTTTTGATGTTGTGAATTGTGCTGCAATGAATACAGTATGCAAACGTCTTTTCTGGATTGTACTTTTGGGCCCTTGGGGAATATTCCAAGGAGAGAGATTGCTAGGTCATATGGAAGCTCAACTGCTAGTTGTTTAAGTAATGACCATAAACTATTATGCTTTTATATTTTAACTTTGCATATCAGGAGATTGCATCACTTCCTGGTGAAATTATACTTAGTACTTAATTGACAGGGGAATGTTATATAACAAAATTGTTTGTGCTTATGATTGCCCATAATTTATAAGGAAAAGCCCATGGAGGGGAGAGGGGCTTGTTTTATAATAAGCTGTCAGTAAGGTTGGAGAACTGAGGACAGAAATTGAGTCTGTCTTTGCGTGCATGGGCCAACAGCCTTTGTTGATCTTAGTCTTTCCAATGTACTAGTTTTCCCAGGCCCAACTTCATTCCTATGGGTCCCTCGATAATCCCTAACACCTTGACCTTGTCTGACTGTTGCTGTCTCGCATCCAAATGAAGCCTAACTAACTAGTTTCACATTAGGAGGTTGAAGCAGGACCATGATGACCTCCAGGGCCTCACGAGCAGCTCCCAGTCAAAGGAGTCACCTCTCTGGGCATCCCCACAGGGTCCTGCCTCATCTGGTTCCTGTAGTCACCTGGTTGGTGCTTGAACAGAAGCAATCTTGTGCAGAAAACCAGGACCCCTCCACCAACTGCAGGGCTATTTGAATCCAAGGCCTGAGTCATGATTCCCGGCTCTCAGGGTGAGAGGTGTTCTGTTCTTTCAGCGTCGAGTGCTCTGTTCTTCGTGGTCTGTCACCCACCCCAGTGTTCTCTGCTCTTCATTCTCCCCACCCCCACCCCACCCCCCCCCACCCCGTGCTGCTTCTGAATCACAGCAGGTGTCAGGTTCAGCGGAGCCCAGATTTGCCTGGAGTAATCAGCAAACTTCAAACTGAAAGCACTTTGGCTGGAAGGCTAATTAAGAGCATTTGAAATACCTATTTAATTTAAAATCATATTATCCCAATTAGAAATGTGTTAACATCTCCCAGCTGCCATTTTGAGATGAAATGACATGTTGCTGTCCAAACCCCTTAGGAGCCTGTCTCATGGAGATTTGGAACCCCTGGGGCTTCTGTGTCCCAAGAAACCACATTTCAGAAAAGAAATCTCATGGAGAGAAACCTCTCATTATGATTGACTGTTTATAAAGCAGTTTCCTGCCTTAACCCTCCCCCCCTCAGGCTAGCAGTAGAGGCTAGTACCCACTGCTGCTCCGAGGCTAAAAGAAGCTCGCACAGAACATTTGGTTTTGCTGTGTTCTGTAATCTGGGTTCCCGGCATTGTACAGATACATTGGCTGCATCTGTTCTTGCCCTGGTATTTATCAAATTTTGTCTGTTTTGTGTTCCCTTTTTCCTTTCTGTTGTTTCCTTGCCACTTTCTCCTCTCTACTTTCCCTTGCCCTCCATTTTAAAAATTCCTTTTATTATTGTTGTTTTCCCTTACATCCATGTTTTAAGTGTCTATGAAAGCATCAGTGGGGTGGGGTGATGGTTTAGGTGGAAGTGGGGGTCAAGGACTCAGTGTGAGTGGGAGAAGCTTTATCGTGTACTTTGCATAAGGACGTGCTTCTGTTAAAGAAGTAGGCAAGATGAATATTCAAGAAGATTTGTATAAAGGCAATTTCATACCCTGAAAGAGCGGAGAATTCACTCGGTGGTGATAGGAGAGGTTCCAGGTGGAAAAGATTGTAGATGGATGAAAGAACGTTCATAATGAAGATAATGCTAGAGCAGGCTCCTCCATATCAATATTTCAGGAATTGCAAGACCCATAGTTAGATGCAGCTCTTATAAGAAATTATATCATCTTAAATTCAGAAATTGTCTTACAAAGGAAAGGTAACAGTGACTCAAATGCACCCTTTTAATAAACTATGTTTCAGTGTTTTGCTCTTGTCTAGGCTGTGTAGGGAATTCGAATGTACTCTGTCTTTATCACAGAAATACTCTCTCGTGGTCACTGTACGGCTCTTATGCTCAGTGACCACGGATGGAACTTGAAACCAATTCAGTGGAATCAGTCACACCCAGGAAACTGAGTACAAAAAACTGGGGATTTTCCTCAGAAAGCTGTAGCTGGTTACCATCACATCGCTGGCCTACAGATGAACACCCACTGGGAGACTAGTTTGAGGCATGTTTGTGAGATCTACGGAGATCTCCACTCTCATCCTTGACTGAAAGTCAGAGTGTGAATCTCTCTTTATTACCTCCACACAAATAACCCTAATTCTTTTGAAAGTCAAAACAAGGAAAGCAGTGAAGACAGATGTGAGACAGGAAAGGATTTGGGCAGAGTGAGCCCCACCAATGTAAAAGCCCGAGCATGTGGCCATGGCGGCATAGGGGTGGGGGTGGGCTGCTCGGTAAAAGGGGGGAGGTGGTTCCTTTAAGAGAGTTCCCAGTCCTGAGAGCATGATGGAGGCTGGAGAAAATTTTAGGAGTTTGGGGCTGGAGTGATAGCACAACGGGTAGGGCATTTGCCTTGCACGTGGCCGACCCAAGTTCAATTCCCAGCATCCCATATGGTCCCCTGAGCACCACCAGGAATGATTCCTGGGTGCAGAGCTGGGAGTAACCCCTGAGCATCACCAGGTGTGACCCAAAAGGCAAAAAAAGAAAAGAAAAGAAAATTTCAGGAGTTCCAGTGCATGCCTTGTATGTACTCGACCTGGGTTCAGTGTCTGACCCCTTGAGCATCTCCTGGTGTAGCTCTGGAGAACCCTGGAGAACCCTGAGTCAGAGCACACTGACTCTGGTGGTCCAAAGCACCAAGCAATTTTAGATTCCTAAACGCTCACTGCCAGTCTATCAGCCAGTATCACCAGAAGTGACCCCCAAGTCCCCTGAGTGCTGTTTGAAGGCCCCCCAAAAGGTTCCTAGCACTCCGAGATCACAGCTTACTCCTACACAGTTTCCACTAGCAAGAAAATCGTGTGATTTTTCTGCCCAGCACCTTCAGAGAATGATCCTGATGGAGCCCAGTTCAGCTGCCTGAGCTAGTGTGTTTGGCAGGATTCAGTTCTGTGTTTTGAGCGCCCCACCACCCCCACGTTTATTGCATCAGCTCTCCTGAAGGGTGATGGACTACAGGTGTAATTCGGCAAATGTTTCTGTGTGGGATTCTAAGCCCTGTGCATGTATTTTCTTCCATGTAGCACTGCACTGTCCTCCCGCTGATCATCGATTTGCTCGAGCGGGCCCAGTAACGTCTCCATTGTGAGACTTGTTGTTACTGTGTTTGGCATATCGAATACGTCACGGGGAGCTTGCCAGGCTCTGCCGTGTGGGCGAGATACTCTCAGTAGCTTGCCTGGCTCTCTGAGAGGGGCAAAGGAATTGAACTTGGGACAACTGGGTCTGCCGCATGCAAGGCAAATGCCTTACCCGCTGTGCTATTGCTCCAGCCCTGCGTGAGCTAAATGCTATTGACCTCAGTCTATCATTCAGAGGGGTTCAGTGAAATTACCCTACTGTGCTTAGCCCAGGTCACAGATGCAGCATCAAGCACCCACGGCACCCACCTCTGTGCAGGGCACTGAGGAGGGGTGGAAGGTCCACACCTGCCCTGAAGCGTTTCCATTCTAACAGCATGATGGCATCTATGCATGAATAGATGCTCTCTGATTTCTTACATCATGCTGCTTACCATCCTCTTCCTCTGTGATCCCAAACCAGTTCACCCTTGACCTCCCCCAAGAAGCCTCCCCCTCTCCTCCCCATCAGCCCTGTCCTCTAGCCTCCTGCCTGAGCACCAGACTTGTTTAAAAATTATTTCCTT